AATTGCTCTGGCATCCCCCCCACTGCTCATGGACTCAGGGTTGGTAAAATAGGCTGATTTTAAGATCAGGATTGGAGAAATTCACTGGGGGTTGGTGGGATTGTGTCTAATTTGGCTAAAATAAAGCTGGGACAGCTGTGGTGCACTGCTCATGGACTCAGGGTGGGTAAAATCTGCTGATTTTTAAGACAAGCTGGAGCCCAGGGATGGCAGAGCTGTTTGGACAGCTGGATTTGTTTGTAGTATATATATTTTAAGTTCTTTTTTGAGCTTGGTCAGAAATCCTTCTTTGTGATTTTGGGTTCTTCTGTTTGACTTGAGAGAGGCATCTCTGAACTTGGCCAGAGTGTGGGGAATGTTTGAGCTCCTGGACTTCAGTGAAATAATGATTATCTTCACACACTTACCTTGTGATTGCCCCTTCAGATAAAGTCTTTAATAGCAAAACAAGAATCATCACAATAATAACAACTTTTCCATAGAATATTATTTTGTAAGCGATGCCCCAAACTAAATTACTTAAAAACATGAAATTGATGGATGCCCTATAAATTATCCTACAGTTGTCTGACAAATCTGTAGGATTTGCTATTCCTGTGTGAGCAGAAGGGACTCACAAATGCTGCTGTGTTTTCACAAGGGCAGAGCTTTCATGGCACTGTCCTACACAGTGCTGCTACATTTCCAGAAGCAATATTATCTGATGTGGAAGTAGAAACTTCAGTGGTTTTTAGCTTTTCCAGAGACTGTATGAGTTGAAGGTGGATGAGGATTTTTAGGGAGTGGATTAGGAGCAGTTCCCTGCCCGGAAGAGGAGTTGTTCTAATTTAAGAAGAGAGAATTATTTGCCTGCAGAAAGGCCTGGGGTGTGGTTCTGCAGAGATTGCTGAGATAACTCAAGCATTTTAGGTGTCTTTAGGGAAGGTCTGCCATTGCCCAGTTTTTTGATCTCTTCTTCCAAAAGTTTTCAGGGAACATTTTTGATGTGTTTTTCTGTGTTATAATTTTTGTTTGGATTGGGTTTTTGTTTGGGGTTTTGTTGTTGTTGTTGGATTGGTGTTTTTTGGCAGAAAAATTGCCAGTTCAACAATATTTAGGGCTGTGACTTTTCATGTAAGGGGAGGATGAGTGAAATAAGCGTTGTTGTGTAAAATGGAAAGTTTATTTTGCTTGGGAATTTCAGTGAGTTTCATCAGTGGTCACTTGACAGCCCCACCCCCAGTAAATGCAACACTGAGTTGTTGAAAAGGGAGTTCTAACTCAAAAAACCCCAAACAACTGGTGTAGGTACATGTTTTGTTTCATTTCATAAGCATTTATTGGGGAGTAAACAAAACTTTTGCTTTGAAAATCAGCCTGGGCTTACTAAAACAAAACAGAATAATTCTGAGTAGAGATTCTGGTTTAGTTTGAGGCAGTGAGAAGCAGGAATCTTCTGGAGCTCTTGGTGGTTTTACAGCTTCCAAATGGGAATTTTAATTGTAGCAGCCCAGCTAATATTCAGTTAAAAAGTGAGAATTTGGCTGCAGCCACAGAAACTGTGCACTGCAGCACCAAGAGGAAGCATTTGCTGAGCAGTGATTGTAGGTGGGTTTGGGGTTCCCAGGATATCCCAGGCTTTGTCCAGGCTGTGTGTGAGGTTCTGCCTGCGTGCTCAGGGCTGGGCTGGGATCATTCCCATGTCCAGGAGCTGTTTCCATGCTGTAATCCAAGAGGAGCTACTGTAGGTTAAATATAGAGCCCCTTGTGCTGCCATCAACTCACATTTGCATCAGTCATTAGCTCAGAGCTGCTGCAATTCCAAACTTCCCTGCTGAGGCTGCTCCTGCAGTCGAGTTCTGCTGCAGCTGAGCTGGGACAGTGCTGGGACACTGATTCCTGGGCAATTGTGAGCTGCTCCTCAAATCCAGCCTGGAAAATGGGCTTGGAGAACACACAGGAGGAGCAGCTGGGAAAGCCCGGGGTTGGCTTTGACGGTGGTTTCTCTAATCTGCAGCTGCTAATTGGTAATTAGTGACAAGGGCCAAGGGGATGCAAAGGGTTACAGATTGTATTGTTGTGCTTTGGCTCTTCCCTCCCCGGGCTGCCAGGGCAATTTGGCACAGAGTCCCCGTGTCCTGAGCCTCCCAAGTCACTGGTTGCCTGGCATCATGTTAACCCAACTTCTACCACGATAAACGAGCTGAGATTTGATTCAGGAGCAATCATTTCTGTATAGGAGCAATCATTTCTGTATAGGAGCAATCATTTCTGTACAGCCAAGTGGCTCTGAGGAACAGCACAGGAGAATTGTGAGTAGTTCAGCCAAGGTGCTGTTCCTGAATGCAGGAGAGGTCTGGATCCTCATCTCCAGGAAGGAGGTGACTTTTAGCTCTTCCTGACAGGGGCCACAAAGGTGACAAAGATACAGGTTTTATTTGAAGAAAGTATTCCTGGAAGAAAAGCTTGTTGAAGAGATGAACTTGGGAGTGGCTGCAGGATGATGAGAGGGGAGCAATGGCTTTGTCTCTGTCCTAATTCAGGAGTCAGGGCTAGGCCAGTCCAAGCCATTGGATTTTAGGCTGAAAAGAAACAAAAAGAGCCTGTGAAGAGAAGGGACTTTCAAAAGTTCATAAAGCCTGGAGTCCATGGCCAGGGGATGTTGAAGCTAAAGGATTTAGGGCTGGGCAGGATCACCATGGGACATCCCCACACCCCAAGTGGGTGTTTTAGGGGCTCCTTATTTCCCTCCATTGGCAGGGCTGTTTTCCCTCAGCCTGGCTTGGGGAGAGACTTCCTCAGACACTGAGATAAGCAGAAATGTTTTGGTCTTGTAACTTCAGCATTGAATATTGATTCCTTTTCTGTCTCTGCCTTTCATCTGAGCCTTTTTAAAGATTTTCCTGCATATTAATTTGCCATGATAGGCTTTAAAAAACAGGAGAAAAACCACCTTGAATTTCACACATTTATGGACAGGACACAGAGGGTGTTTCACTGGTACTCAAGAATGGTCCAAAGACAGGTTGGTATTTTTATTTTCCATGGAGCCAGGGGTCTCCTCTGGTGCTTTTGCAGATGGAATTTGCAGGTGACTCCAGGCTGCTGGGGATGCCCACGTTCAACTGGTGATGAGAGAAGTGCTTTTAATGACAATTCAGTTGCAGTGTGGAAACTGAAATCCCTCATCCCCAGATACAAACCCAGCTTTCTTTTCATTGCAGTGAATGATGGGCTTATTATGTGAGCACAGCCACAGGGATTTACTGTTCAGGAGTAGCTGGAAATGAGTCTTTTGAAAGAGCACTTGTAAATAAATGATTCTGAGATAAGTGAAGAGCACTTTGCTTTTCCTTCATTTTCTCCTTTGAAAATGTTGCTTCCTGCCTTGATTCCCTGCATTTTTGCTGATATCAGCCATGTCTTTTCAGTAAAATAAACTTTTCTTGGGCTTTAACAATGCTTAGAGAATATTGCAGCGTTAGATGGAGTGGGATTAGTATATGCTAAAGAGGAGGAGTCTGATGTTTGGAAAAGTTGTTTCTTGGTGCATGTGGATGAGTATCTGAAGAAATCCTAGAAGAGGATGAAGAGAGATGCTGGTTGCTCTCGGGTTTTGGTTGTTGATTGCTGCCCCAAGATGTGCAGGATGTCTCTGTTTCGGCCTGCACAGTTGAAGAACGAGTCTGGACTCTTCACTTTTCAGTCTTGAGGTTGTTTATTAATTCTTATCTATAAAATTTTCTTTCTGCCCAGCTGAGATCTGCTCAGCAGGGCAGTCACAGGCACTCTGACCACCCCTGAGGCGGTATTGTCCTTTTATACTACAAAATAATATAACATATTTACACTTAATTCCAATACCCATCACCTGTGTTACACAGTGCACTTCTACTCTAAATATAACATATTTACACTGAATTCCAATACCTATCACCTGTGTTAGACAGTGCACTTCTACTCTAAATATAACATATTTACACTGAATTCCCAATACCCATCACCTGTGTTAGACAGGGCACTTCTACTCTAAATATAACATATTTACAGTGAATTCCCAATACCCATCACCTGTGTTAGACAGTGCACTTCTACTCTAAATATAACATATTTACACTGAATTCCCAATACCCATCACCTGTGTTAGACAGTGCACTTCTACTCTAAATATAACATATTTACAGTGAATTCCCAATACCTATCACCTGTGTTAGACAGTGCACTTCTACTCTAAATATAACATATTTACACTTAATTCGTAATACCTATCACCTGTGTTAGACAGTGCACTTCTACTCTAAATATAACATATTTACACTTAATTCCCAATACCTATCACCTATGTTACACAGTGCACTTCTACTCTAAATATAACATATTTACACTTAATTCCAATACCTATCACCTATGTTACACAGTGCACTTCTACTCTAAATATAACATATTTACACTTAATTCCAATACCTATCACCCATGTTAGACAGTGCAATTCTACTCTAAATATAACATATTTACACTTAATTCCCAATACCTATCACCTATGTTAGACAGTGCACTTCTACTCTGAACCAATCCCAAAGTGCCAACATCACAGCACAAAATGGAGAACAAGAAGAAGAAAGACTGGACGCGTCCAAGTTCCTCCATCTTGTCCCCATAACCCCCATACCAAAAATCCTAAAATCTACATTTTCACCCTGTGATCATTTTATTATTACACTGTTCAAACCTGTGTGGCTTTCAGGTCCTCATACAAAGCTGGTCACTTGCTCCAGGGGTCACAATCAAACCCTCAGGTGCTCTGGGCTGTGTGCCAGGGTCTCTGAGCCCCCGGTGGGGTCCTGGGCAGCCCTGGGCACCCGGAGGGGTGCACTGAGCTCCTACGGGCTGGCAAACAGCAGATGTGGGGGTTGGGGGACTGCCCCTGGCAGGGTGCATTCCTGCCAGAGCTGGTGGAACACTGCACGTCTCAGGGCAGCCTGGAAGCACAGCAATCCCTTTTCCCTGTTTGCTCCCTGCAGAAGCAAGCCTGCCAACGGGGATTACCGCAAGGAGCACCGGGAGCGGAGCCGCAGCCCCATCGAGCGGGCGGCTGCCCCCACCATGAGCCTGCACGCCAACCACATGTACACCTCCATCCCCAGCCTGAGCATGGAGCAGCCCCTAGCACTGACCAAAAACAGCCTGGATGCAGCCAGGACAGTGGGCATCTCCCCCAGCCTGAGCAGCGTGGAGCGGCAGCAGGTACGGGGCTGGCACCGCCATTGGCAGCGGCCCACGGGGAGGGCGCCGGGCACAGGCACAGCTGGGGCAGGTACAGCCAGAGGAGAGGCTGCTCCTCGGGCAGCACGGGGTTAAAAATGCACCCTGAATGTCACAGGGACATCCTTGTGGTATTCCTTGTGGCATTCCCAAGCTTGGGAGTGCAGGAGTTGTGTTTGGGAATGGGTGAGTTTTTATTTGGAATGCATGTGTTTGTACTTAGGAATGCATGAATTGTATTTGGGAATGCAGGAGTTGTATTTAGGGATATTTGGGAATGCATAGGTTTTATTTGGGAATGCATAGGTTTTATTTGGGAATGCAGGAGTTGTATTTGGGAATGTATGAGTTCTATTTGGAAATGCAGGAGTTGTATTTAGGGATATTTGGAAATGCAGGAGTTGTATTTAGGGATATTTGGGAATGCATAGGTTTTATTTGGGAATGCATGAATTTTATTTGGGAATGCATGTGTTGTATTTAGGGATATTTGGGAATGCATGAATTTTATTTGGGAATGCATGAATTTTATTTGGGAATGCAGGAGTTGTATTTAGGGATATTTGGGAATGCATAGGTTTTATTTGGGAATGCAGGAGTTGTATTTGGGAATGTATGAGTTCTATTTGGAAATGCAGGAGTTGTATTTAGGGATATTTGGGAATGCAGGAGTTGTATTTAGGGATATTTGGGAATGCATAGGTTTTATTTGGGAATGCATAGGTTTTATTTGGGAATGCATGTGTTGTATTTAGGAATGTATGAGTTCTATTTGGGAATTCAAGAGTTGTATTTGGGAATGCAGGAGTTGTATTTGGGAATGGGTGAGTTTTTATTTGGGAATGCAGGAGTTGTATTTAGGAATGCATGAATTTTATTTGGGAATGCATGAGTTGTATTTAGAGATATTTGGGAATGCAGGAGTTGTATTTGGGAATGCAGGAGTTGTATTTGGGAATGCAAGAGTTGTATTTGGGAATATGTGAGTTTTTATTTGAGAATGTATGTGTTTTATTTAGGAATGCATGAATTTTATTTGGGAATGCAGGAGTTGTATTTAGGGATATTTGGGAATGCAGGAGTTGTATTTAGGAATGTATGAGTTCTATTTGGAAATGCAAGAGTTGTATTTGGGAATATGTGAGTTTTTATTTAAGAATGCATGAGTTGTATTTAGGAATGCATGAATTTTATTTGGGAATGCATAGGTTTTATTTGGGAATGCATACATTGTATTTAGGAATGCATGAGTTGTATTGGGGGATTCATTAATTTTCTTTGGGAATGCATGAATTTATTATTTGGGAATGCACAAATTTTATTGGGGAATGCATGAGGGTTTTTTTGGGAATGCATGTGTTGTATTGGAAATGCATGAGTTTTATTTGGAAATATTTGGGAATGCATGAGTTTTATTTGGGAATGCATGAGTTTTTATTTGAGAATGCATGCATTGTATTTGGGAATGCATGAGTTGTATTTGGGAATGCAGGAGTTGTATTTGGGAATGCATGAGTTTTATTTGGAAATATTTGGGAATGCATGCATTGTATTTGGGAATGCATGAGGTGTATTTGGAAATATTTAGGAATGCACGAATTGTATTTGGGAATGCATGAGGTGTTCTTTGGGAATAGCTGTGTTTTCCCTGGGAATTCAGAGGGTGGTTGGTCAGGAAGGCCCAGCACCTGCTGGGCAGTGCCTGGGGACAGCCCCTGAGCCCCTCCTGTGATCCCTGTGTGCTCCCCTCCCCTGCCCCAGCTCTCCACCCTCAGGAAGGGGGAAGGGGTACAACAGAAAGGAAGAATTTGACTCTGGGTGATCTTGGTAGTTTTAGGCAGCCAGAAGCATTTTCTGTGTTGTTCAGAGCAATGTTTTATCACTCATACCCCTTTCCTAAAGCCAAGTCATTCTTTTTGATTATTTGATGCTGATTTCCATGTGCTGGAGTGGCTGTTCAGGTTTTTTTGGTGGTGGTTCTTTGCCATCTTGCACATGGCATTTGTTTTGCTGCAGAAGTGCAGAAGCTGAGCCATTTCTGTAGGCAAGAACAGTTTCCTCATGTGTCAGACTCACTTTTATCCCTCCTCCAAGTGGAGAGACAAAGCAGGGAATTGAGCTGTGATGAGCTGCAGCACTGAGAAATTCAAGAAATTCAAGAAAGAATGACCAGCAAGAAAAGAAACTGTTTTCTGCCTCCTGAAATAGCAGGACAGTTTGAGTGTACCAGCCCAACACACAGACCCATAAGTTCAGATGCCCTGTGAAGGAGTCCAGCTCTGGACCTGCCTGCTCTGCTTTATGGGCTGGACAGTCATTTACAGACCAGAACAAACTGCTTCTACTTACAGACAAAATAAATGTACAAAGTATGTACAGTTACTAAATCTGAAAAAAAAAAATCAGTTAAAAAAAATAGAGCAACTAAGAAGAAATTAATATAGAGGAAATTTTTCAGGGATGACAACTGGAGGAAAAAAAGTGTGTGTCTTTTTAGTAACCAGTCCTTACCTGGATCAGGAAGCAGCCCTAAGTTCTGAGTACAGTTTCTGGGAAAATGAATTCTCACCATTGAGCAGAAACCCAATGGGAAGCAAGAAAGCCCTACTTCTTTCTAGGCAAAAGCAGTTTAGCCCTACCATTTGCTGGGAAAGTTTTAGGTGAGACTCCTTTCTCCAAATCTGAGTGAACTGCTTTTTACTTTGATGAAGCTCAGCTCTGTTTCAAACAAACCAAAGCTGAAGGTGACCATTGCTAATTTTTTATCCCTCTCTGTTCCCTTTTGAACCAGATTACAATCACTTTTTTTGCAAAACAGGATGTTGGGGCAAGGCCTTGCTAAGAGCACAGAGTAGAAATCATACAAAATAAAAAGTGCACTAGAAAAAAAAAAAAAAATCCCAGTTTGATGATTCCTTCCTTGTTTTGGGGATTTTTTTTAACCTTAACATGTGGAATGAGATTTCATTTCTAATAAAACATTTAGAAGAATACCTTATTTGCAGCAGGACAGGGTTATTCAGCTGTTGTAGTTAGGGATTATTACTAAATTCTTAGTTTATCTCAATATTTTTATAAATTTTTCTGTATTCTATGCACACAGAGCCATAGCAGAGGTTAAGGAACCCTTATTGGGTTCTTCAAGGTGTTGGCATGTGCATTTCTGAGGTATTGTTACCTGTCTCTCTGCTCCTCACCTCCTGCATGTCCAAAATACTCTTCTGAAGAGAATTAAATAAGAGAATTAAACACATGCCTTTCTCAAAAACCACTTCTGAGAGGCACAAAATCCTCGCCCCTACAGAAAATAATTCCTCCCACATGTGAACTGTTTACAGAAAAATCAAATAATTCTTCTGTTTTGCTTTATTTGCTTTTTTCTCCTTTGCTGCCAATGCAGTAAGAGGTAAAAAAAAACTCATTGCTGTTTTGTCCTGGCAAAAATGATGTTAAACTTCCCTGGAAAGCTCAGCTCTTTTACTTTACTGTTCTTGCTCTTACTCTGCCTAAAGTCCCACCAAAGAAGGGAAATTCCCTCCTTCCTCCCTGACCTTCTATGGGGGCAGGCGATTTTTTTGTGGGTAAAATGGTCAAGAAATGAAATTCCATCAGTTCTGTTAATCTTTTGAACACTTACTACTTCATTTGCATTGAGTATAATGGACTCCTTGCATCATCAAATATATGCACTTTATTCCACTACCTGTGCTATTTCCCTTCAACCACCTGGGACATTTCTTTTCCCAAGGCTTTGTGTAAATGTCCATAGTAACCAACTCTAAAAAGAGTATTTTATGGTTACACTTAAAATACAGATGGAGGAGTATCAAATATATGCAATTTATTCCACTACCTGTGCTATTTCCCTTCAGCCACCTGAAATACATGCAAATATTCAAATATATGCAATTTATTCCACTACCTGTGCTATTTCCCTTCAGCCACCTGGGACATTTCTTTTCCCAAGGCTTTGTGTAAATGTCCATAGTAACCAACTGTAAAAAGAGTATTTTATGGTTAAAGTCCAGATGGAGGAGTTCTAATGTAATGCAGCTGTGAATAGACATTTTGGGGAATTTGCATGTGCTGAGAATGACAGTGAAGTTAATTAAGTATTAATTATAAATTAATTCACCTGCTGGAAAGGCAAAAAGGATTTGTGGTCCAGACAGGCTCAGAGTTCTTCATATTTATTGCACATCCCATGGGATTAGGATGCACTGTGGAATACAGAGGTAGAGCTAGGAAAACTCAACTCCTGAATCAAAATTATAACACCAAGACAACAAATATCTGGAAAATCTACAAACCCCTTCTATGTGTGGCCACTGAATGAAACAAACATTTCAAGTGTTGATATGGAGCTCAGTGCAGTTGACACAATCACTGTAAAATCACTTCAGAGGTTTGCTTTCACACTGCCCTTTTTTTGTCCACTGAAATAACCTTGATGGAAATGCAACAGATTTTTAAAAATGGACTTAAAAAAAAAATTAATCAAAGAAACAGCTGAATATTTAGGGGTTTAATATGAATTTTGGATAGTTTATGAATTTAGTTGCCATGGCTGTGAAGCTGCAACAATCAGTGTAAGATTATTTTTAATTATTTGCTTTCACACTGCCCTTTTTCTGTTCACTTACATAAGAACTGTTGTGGAAATGCAATGTAGATTTTTATTTTCAATCAAAGGAACAGCTGAATATTTGGGGATTAATATGAATTAGCTTATGGATTTAATTGCTGTGGCTGTGAAGTTGCAACAATCAGTGTAAGATTATTTTGAAGATTTACTTTCACACTGCCCTTTTTCTGTTCACATACATAAGAACTGTTGTGGAAATGTGATGTGGATTTTTATTTTTAATCCAAGAAACAGCTGAATATTTAGGGGTTTAATATGAATTAGATAGTTTATGGGTTTAATATGAATTGGATAGCTTATGGGCTTATTTGCTGGGAAGTTGCAATAATCAGTGTAAAATTGTTTTGAAGATTTACTTTCTCAGTGCCCTTTTTCTGTTCACTTACATAAGAACTGTTGTGGAAATGTGATGTGAATTTTCATTTTTAATCAGAGAAGCAGCTGAATATTTGATTTTTCTTTTTAATCAAAGAAGCAGCTGAATATTTAGGGGTTAATATGAATTAGATAGCTTATGGGTTTAATTGCTGTGAAGTTGCAACAATCAGTGTAAGATTATTTTTAAGATTTGCTTTCACACTGCCCTTTTTCTGTTCACATACATAAGAACTGTTGTGGAAATGCGATGTGAATTTTCATTTTTAATCAAAGAAACAGCAGAATATTTGGGGGTTTAATATGAATTAGATAGCTTATGGGTTTAATATGAATTAGATAGTTTATGGGTTTAATATGAATTGGATACTTATGGGTTTAATTGCTGTGAAGTAGCAACAATCAGTGTAAGATTAAGATTTACTTTCACACTGCCCTTTTTCTGTTCACTTACATAATAACCATTGTGGAAATGTGATGTGGATTTTTATTTTTAATCCAAGAAACAGCAGAATATTTGGGGGTCTAATATGAATTAGACAGTTTATGGGTTTAATATGAATTGGATAGCTTATGGGTTTAATTGCTGTGAAGTAGCAAAAATTAGTGTAAGATTGTTTTGAAGATTTACTTTCACACTGCCCTTTTTCTGTTCACGTACATAAGAACCGTTGTGGAAATGTGATGTGAATTTTCATTTTTAATCCAAGAAACAGCAGAATACTTGGGGGTTAATAAGCAGTGGGTTGAATTGCTGGTGCTGAGTGTGCCACTGTGCTTGTGTCCCCCCAGAACCGTCCCTCTGTGATCACCTGTGCTTCTGCCAACAACCGCAACTGCAACCTGTCCCACTGCCCCATCGCCCACAGCGCCTGCTCCGGGGCTGCCTACAGGAGACCCTCCAGCTGTAAGTGCCTGCCTGGGCTTGGAGAGGACAGCTGGCTGCTGAGGAAGGCAGGAGCCTCCCCTGAAATGGGAAATGTCAACCCCCTCCCTCCAAATTATCACAGTTTGGAAATTAAGGGGCTCTCAGGCAGAGATATGGGAATAGGAATAGCAGTTCTTGACTAGGAAAATTAGAATGAAATGCAGTGATACAAACCAGCAGTGCCAGAGTCAGAGCAGTCCCTGTCCCCTGTGTGTCAGGGGTGGCACAGCCCCATCCCATGGGGGCTCAGCCCTCCTGCAGTGCCAGCTGTGGCTCTGCTGGAGCAGGGATCCTGCACAAGGGGGGAGTTTTCCTCTGCAGCTCCAGGGCTGCTGCAGATGGGCCTGGGCTCCCTCTGGCCATGCAGGGCAGCAGAAGCTGCTCCTCTGGCAATGCACTGGGCAAAGGCTGCTGGGCTGTCCCAAAGCTCAGATTGGATCCAGGTAGGAATGCTTGGCTCCTCCCCTGGGCGGAGCTTCTCCCCATGGGATGATGGGATTGGATCAGCCATGCAGGGACACTCAGTGGCCATGGACAGAAAATATCTCCTGAAGGAGGATGGGTTTGTGGAAGAGATAAAGAAAACTGCCCATGAACTGAACTGTCCTACCTCTAAGAGCTGGCAATAGAATACACACCCCCAGGCACATCCCCAAGGCAGTGCCACCCTCCAGCCTGCCCTCACTGGGGTCCCAGCAGAGCAGAGTGGTCCCCACTGTGCCCTTACTGACAGGGAGAAAAGGAGCTGAAATGATGGATACCCCTTTGTCTGCTCCTGTGCCACAGCTGGAAGTACTGCTGCAGAACTAGGGAGAGAAGGGTGTTCTTTCCTCTTGCATGGAAAAGCTTATTAAAAAACAAAAAACCAAGCACCCCACACAGACAAATAAGCCATTATGTTTATTTTAATCCAGCTGACAAACAGCAGCCAGGGCCAGCAGATCCCCCCACGCTGTTTTTTTAGGAGCTGTAGTTGCCCCTGCTCTCTCAATGGCCAGGAGACTTTTTTGTGATTCAGCTGCAGTCCCAGAAATCTTTCCTGCAGCCACAAATACCCTTCCAAAGGCTGCACCCTGCACCCTGCTCTGCATGGATAACACAAAACCCTTTGGAAGGCAGTTGCTACAGCAACCCAAGCAGGGAGCTTTAGCTTGGTGCCTTCAGTGCAGTTAGCACTGCTCATGAAATCTGCTCAGGCAGCACTTGCTGGGAAAGCTGGGCTGCTCCTGCTCACCCTCACTGCTCACAGAGCACAGGGGGAGCTCAGCCCTTCCCTTGCACATCCTTTACCTGCTGGGCAGAGCTTTAGATTGCAGCACTGCCAAAAGCTCAGGGCAGGATGTGCCCATGGAACAATACCAGCATGATGTAGGCAGCAACCTAAAGCCCACAGCAGGGTAATTATTAGTATTTTGCTATAAATAGCATTTTTTTAAATTTTTCTAAAGATACTGTTGCTAACTAGAATTAGAAGCTGAAGGAGCCCCTTAGACTACTGGAGAAATCAATCATTGGGGATCTCAGATGTTATCAACTCACAAACTGGTGCTACTGGTCCCTGGAGAGCTGCTCCAGTGGGCATGGGAACAGGGCTGGATGTTTCCAGAAAAGATTTGTGTCCTGTCAGGTGAAGAGGTGTCTGTGCATGACACTTGGGTTTATTTTAGGATCAATCAAGCAGGGGGGCTCTGCCATGGATCCCAACAGTGCCATGTGTTTTTGGAAAGACAATTCTTATCAAGACACACAAATACTGATTCTAAATTGTAAAACTGCAGTGCTCTTGTATTTAGTCTGAGAAATTACTGCAATTCTGGGTCAAAACCTGCCTTTTAAGGCTTTTGTAATAGTCTTAGAGCCCTTACTGCAGTGCTCCTGATTCATTTAGCTCTGACTGCTCCCAGCACAAGTGTGTGGAGTGAGATGAAACCCTGAGCTCAGCTTTTGGCATGCTGCACTTTAGGATGGGGTCTTCTCACACCTGACTGCTATCAGCAGGCTTGGGAGCTGATTTTAAACAAGTCTTTGCATCATTAACTCCATTTAAACCTAAATATAAATTCTATGTGATTGTTTTGGGAGTAGGTTTCCATAGAATTGGAGCTGGAGCTGTTAGTTGCCTGAGGGAGAAATACAATTACGTATAAATGCTCACCTGTTCCAGTTAAAAATATTTAATCCCATTGTTTTGTTTTTTTTTCATTTTAACTCCTTCCTTCCCACCTCCTTGCCCATTCCCAGGTCTGTAAGGGTGTGAGGAAGGTCATCTTAGTGACAGGAACTTGTAGTGACAAGGCATTAAGCTACAAGGGAGATGCTTTGGGGGCTGGAGCCTCTGTGCTCTGGAGACAGCCTAGGAGAGATGCAGGGCTGTAGAAGGCCCTGGGGAGAGCTCAGAGCCCCTGCCTGTTCCTAAAAGAGCTCCAGGACAGCTGGGGAGGGACTGGGGACAAGGACCTGGGGTGGTGGGATAAGGGGAATGTCTACCCATGGCCCTGAGGGCAAGGATGGATGGGATTTTGGGAGGGAATTGTGCCTGGGAGGGTGGGCAGGCTCTGAGGGCAGGGATGGATGGGATATTGGGAGGGAATTGTGCCCGGGAGGGTGGGCAGGGATGGATGGGATATTGGGAAGGAGCTGTTCCTGGGAGGGTGGGCAGGATCTGAGGGCAGGGATGGGTGGGATATTGGGAGGGAATTGTTCCTGGGAGGGTGGGCAGGCCCTGAGGGAGGGGATGGATGGGATATTGGGAAGGAGCTGTTCCTGGGAGGGTGGGCAGGATCTGAGGGCAGGGATAGATCGGATATTGGGAAGGAATTGTGCCTGGGAGGGTGGGCAGGATCTGAGGGAGGGGATGGATGGGATATTGGGAAGGAGCTGTTCCTGGGAGGGTGGGCAGGATCTGAGGGCAGGGATGGATGGGATTTTGGAAGGAGCTGTTCCTGGGAGGGTGGGCAGGCTCTGAGGGCAGGGATGGATGGGATTTTGGAAGGAGCTGTTCCTGGGAGGATGGGCAGGATCTGAGGGCAGGGATGGATGGGATATTGGAAGGAGCTGTTCCTGGGAGGGTGGGCAGGCCCTGAGGGCAGGGATGGGTGGGATTTTGGGAGGGAATTGCTCCTGGGAGGGTGGGCAGCCCCTGGCAGCTGTGGCTGCCCCTGGATCCCTGGCAGTGCCCAAGGCCAGGCTGGACAGGGCTGGGAGCAGCCTGGGACAGTGGTTGGGGGTGGTTGAAGGTTGAGCTTTAAGGCCATTCCAAGGTGTGTGAGACAAAGCAGGATGGAAATGCAGGCTGGGAGTGCAGTGCAGGTGTGAATGCCCCTCTGTGCTGTCCCCACAGCCACCGCTGCGTGTGACCCGGTGGTGGAGGAGCACTTCCGCAGGAGCCTGGGCAAGAACTACAAGGAGCCCGAGCCGGTGGCGAACTCGGTGTCCATCACGGGCTCGGTGGATGATCACTTTGCCAAAGCCCTGGGGGACACGTGGCTGCAGATCAAGGCTGCCAAGGACGCCGTGGGCAGCAGCCCCGAGGCGCGGCGGGGCCGGGCGTCGCCCTCCTCACACATGGTCAGCCACAACCACTCGCCCTCCGTGGCCTCCTGAGGACAGAGCCCTTGCCGTGCTGGGAGCTGCATGCTTCGACTGAGCTTGGAACAAGTGCTTCAGTAGGGCTGGGGAGGGGAGGTTAGTTTGCAGCACATGGTTTTGTGTACTCACTTTGTTGGTTTTTTTTTTTTGGTTTTTTTTTTTTTGTAAAAGGGTGCCCTTAAAGACAATAGCAGGAACTATTTCATAAAGATTCATATGATGTAGCATCCTTTTCTTCCTGCCTCAATTACCAAAGAAACCTCTGATGCAAATCTGCTGCCCCTTAAAAAAATAATGCACGCTAATCCACAAAAGCCATTACACTTAGTTTGTTGACCCAAGTGCTTTTTTTGCTTTTCTTAGCTTCTCAAGACTAGAATTTGTCTGGTTTGCTTACATTGCTTTTTTTTTTTTTCCCTCTGTGAAGTAATTTTGTATGTATATACTTGAAAAGAACTGTCATGTATGATTTGCACTATTGGAGGAGGACTGAAGTTGCACAGCAACTTTCTGGAAGAGGCGAAATATTTTGAGGGCAAACTGCTGAAAAAAGGGTTTAAGGATGACATTTCTATCAGTTTGATTTTTCTTAGAGCAAAACAGCTTTGGAAGGGGAAGTCTCATACAGGTTATAGGTCTTTCTCTCTTTAGATTTCAGGTGCTTAGTGCTTGCAACTGGACTGCATAATTTACAGAACACGGGCATTTTTTCCTAAACACTGCAGTTTGTTAGAATAGAGCTGAGGTTGGAGGGTTCCATAGTGCTTAACGATGCATGTTTTATGAAAAATAGCTGGTATCTATTAATGTATAGACAGTAAGAATCATAATACTTATTAGCTTCTCTTCAGAATTAGTTTATTTTTGTCAGTAACAATCCTAGATATACTTACTGCTGGTACAGTTGTACTCTATGATATTTGTATTTGCTATTCACTTTAGTGGCAGCAGCACCGAGGGCAGCTCAGGACAGGCCTCGTGCAGCACTGCTGCTTCACAGGGATCTGCTTCCCAACCCCAGTCTGTGTAATCCACCCTGAACTAGCTGCAGGAACTGCTACCCTTACACATCTTGGCTGGACAACAGATTGTTACAGTTTGTGAAAGATGATATTTCCTTTTGTTTCTTTGATTTTGGTTGGTTTTTTTAAGCCTATCCATCAGCCTACGTCAAGTCGCAGCATACATTCCTCCAGTAGGTTTTATACAGGTATTACTGCATTTATTATCATTTGCTATATTAATAGCTACTAACTAGAAATTAGGCAGTAGAGGCAGGCATAAAACCACAGCTGTGCTAGTGCTAAGAGCTTCTCTTCTTCTTGTTAAGTGTAACTACTCTCCCCAGTACATTCCATCTTCCCAGGACAGTTGCAGCCAGGGCTTGGTTTTTATCCTGGGCTCCCTGAAAGGATGGGCTCAGTGTAGGAAGTGAGAACTGGTTGGAAGATGAACTCCACGTGATGTATTATGGACTATGTTACAGTATTGGGTCCATTGTGGCTTTTATTTTATGCTTTTTTGGTTTGTTCTTTTGTTTGTTTTTTTTTTAAAGTTAAGCTATTTAATTTGGAAAAGGTGCAGGGTAGAAAGAGATCGGGAGATTGGCTCTTACTCTTGGTGAGAAGGTGGCTGCTCAGTTTTCTTTAAAAAAATGAAAAAAACCACAAAAAAAACCCAACCCAACACCTAAGCCCCCCAGTTTTACACATTTCACTACCATCTTACTGGGTAGTCAACGCTTCCTTGCTTTGGCATTCAGTACCCTACTCTCTGTAGGAAGATTGTTAAAAAACACTTTTTTATATAGGTAACTTTAAGACCATCGTTACGCTGTGCGTAAAGAATGTACAGAGAAATTTGTAGGTATTTTTTGAGGAACAATTAATTTGTTAATGATATGTAGCTATTTAATTTTTCCCTTTCCTTTATTGTAATCATTCTTTTTTTTTTTTTTTTCGTTTGTTTGGAGAAAAAAGTTGATCTTTTTTTTTTTTTTTGTTTTGTTGTAGATTTGTCTGTAATACAGTAAAAAGTGCAGGAACACAGTTATTCTATGAGGACACTGCATTAGCATTAATAGCCACTCGTTTGTTATTGCTACAGGCTACTGAGCAGTATAACAGTCAATACTAATACTGTAGATGGACTCTGTGGAAAATGTGACTCCTCTATTTCTTTGTAAACACAAATAAGATAATGTTTTTAAAGCTAATATTTTCAATAATAGCTGTTTTACAAGGTTACATTTACTTATCTGAGATAGGTAAATGGATTTGAGGGCAATAAAGATTTAATGTGCTACGTCCAGTAAAGCAGATACTGGGCACAACAATGTCACGAAAGCCAAAGGGTTGGGGGGAGGTGGAAGGACACTAAACTGAACTCACCATCATGAGACGTGGTGAAGCTTCTTCACAGAGCCAGGTTATCTACAGTTCAGTTTGAAAGATTCTCTCTGTGTTTGTAAATCTGTAATATACCATTCTTTTGTGGCCTTGTTTCACCTGGAAAAAAAAAAAAAAAAAAAAAGGTTTGGCAGGCCATCTTTTTTTTTTGTACTTAAAAGTAGCCTTAAAGAACAATAAAGTGCTCTTAAATCACAGGTGTGTTCCTAAGCCTCTGTATTGCCTGAGCCAGGAATTGGTGTGTGTGTGAGGCAGAAGCAAACCTCAGGCCACGTCCTGCCCTCCTTCCAAGCATCCCTACCTTTTTTGGGACCATAACCCCACTGGTGGGGCTGCCACAGCCACAGTCTGCAGTTCAGGGGGCTTTTCCCTACAGGAGTTTGTCAGGAAATCCTTTTACAGCAATAAAAAGCCTGGTGCTGCATTTCTGTTCCTGAAAAGACCAATTTTGTGGCATTTTGTTTGTTCCTCAACTTCTTCAGGGAATCCCTCCCTGGTGAAAACAGCTGAATTTCAAATGTCAACATCCACCATCCTCTAGTCCAGGTGAGCAGCATTCCCATGCCACTGGAGATGGTTAATTCTCAAAAAGTGGTTGTCATTACCTGAGGTCGAGAAAGCCCTGTGAACCAGGCAAGAAAGGGGGCTCCAAAAATTAAAAAAAAAAGCAAAAAGCCCTAAAAGGAAAGAGACACAAAGTTCCTGTTGGCTCAGCAGGGTTTGGAAACATGGCAGACCTGGCTCAGGGTGAGGGAGATGCCATGAGGACACCTCAGGAGGGTTGGTGGAGCACATCTGGGAAGGTGTGGGGGCAGGCCAAGGACACCCCACAGCCTCCCAGGGGAGGTGCTCTCCCTTCAGGAACAGGGAAAATGTCCCTGCACCAACAATCTGGGGGCTCCATGACACAGGCCAGGCTCATTGCTGTCCCCCAGGTCAGGAACCTACAGCAAACTCCATTTCCTGCATGGGAAAAGGGATTTTCTAACTGGCACCGTGGAGGAGGCAGCCCAGCCCCTCAGGATGTCATCAAGAGCCCCAGTGTTTGCAGTGGCATCTTCTGGAGCTGAATGAGGGGCACCTTCTGCTGATGGCAGCCCAGCCATTTCCATGGCAGCAAGCAGAGCTGGCAGCACAAACACCCTCAGGGATGCCCAGCTCGGGCAGTGCCCTCTCCTCAGTGCACTTTGGATGCATTTCAGGCTGGACTGGGGGTGAAAATCACCTGTGCAGGCAAATCCAGCATTTCAGGCTGGACTGGGTGTGAAAATCACCTGTGCAGGCAAATCCAGCGTTTCAGTCCAGTGTTTCAGGCTGGACTGGGAGTGAAAATCACCAGTGCAGGCAAATCCAGCATTTCAGGCTGCATTTGGTGTGAAAATCACCAGTGCAGGCAAATCCATCCAAAGGCCAGCAGTGCTGGTGTGGGCAGGAGTGGTGGCACAGGTGCCAGCCCTGTGTGGCTGCCTGGGCCCCACAGCTGTGCCCAGTGGCACTGAGTGCCCACAGTGAGCCTTGGGCTGCCCAGCTGGGCTGAGGGCACCTCAGGAGCCTGGCAGTGGCACTGAGGTGGCACTGAGGAGCCTGGCAGTGGCACTGGGGTGGCACTGAGGAGCCTGGCAGTGGCACTGGGGTGGTCTCCCTGTCAATGGAGACTTCTCCAGTGTCCCAGCAGTGCCACCAGCTCCTGTTCTCAGTGTGTCACCCCCAGTGTCATTTCCAGTGTCATTTCCATTGTCTTTTCCAGTGTCATTTCCATTGTCATTTCCAGTGTCACCCCCAGTGTCATTTCCAGTGTCATTTCCAGTGTCATTGGTGCTCTCCCCAGGGCTGGCACCCTCAGCCTTGGCCCAGGGTTGCTCACACTGTCTTTGGATCCTTCTAGAAATTCAAAGCCCTGTGCCTGCTCCTGATCCCTGGCTCAGCCCCAGGTGTGCTCCCAGTGTCCAGCTCTCCTCCCATGGCAGAAAGTGATTGCACAGCTGGATTCCAAGGTATGATAAGGCACCTTTGATCCCTGAACAGCTCTTGATAGAAGTTATATCCATTTAACAATTGTTTTCACCTCTTTTGAAATGGGAACGTTCTGCCCCTCTCTGGAGCAGCCACCTCAAGTGCTTGCTCGGGTGTAAGACAGCCAAGATCATGTAAATGTGTATTTTTAAGCTGTGGTGGGACCATTCCCAGCACATTCCCTGCTCCTGAGCTGCCCCTTCTCTGTGCACTGTCCTGCTGCATCCCCAGGAGCAGCACCAGGGAGGGAATTCTCCTTTGGGAAGGATCAGGAGCCCAGTTCAGGCAGCAAGGGGCAGGCTCAGGGGTTTAGAGCCGCTCATTGCTGTGGCCCTTGGGATGTTCCTCTCTGCTGGGAATGTTGGCATGGCATCAGTTCCACCTGCATATTCCCACTGCAATGCATTTGTGTTGCAGCAGAGCTGGAAAATACAGAATTTCTTTTTGCACAGGCCCATTTCCCATTGTGACCAAGCAGTTGCTGCCACATCTCACTGCAGTCACATGAGACCCTCCCAATCTTTTCTTGCTCAGCCAGTTTCACTGCTCACTGCTGCACTGCTCAGTCTAATTTCACATTTTATTTTGCTAAGCAGCAGCTTTCTTAAATGCCAGGGAGAACATCTGTCTCTTCTCCATCACAGAGAGACACAAAGGCATCTGTCAAC